TTTGAAAAGGGTGACTACGATAAGTGTCGGGAGCTTTGTGAGAAGGCCATTGAAGTGGGGAGAGAAAACCGAGAAGACTATCGACAGATTGCCAAGTATGCTCGATCTTCCAGAATACCTTGAGTAGTGTGGAGGGTTTGCTGTCCAAGACTTCAGTTTCCCTGCATGGGGAGGAGGGCTCCTGGCTATAGAATCTGCTATGTTAAGAAAGGGCTGGCAAGAAGGTCACCGGAGCCAAGACAAAAGGTGTTGAAAGGCAGCGAGGCGGGCCTTTCTAGTTGCAGGTGTGTTTTCTCTGCAGGAGCTGACCTTCTCTCTTTGTCCTAAGAACACTTGTCCCTGTTTTCTTTATCAGAGCTTATGCTCGAATTGGCAACTCCTACTTCAAAGAAGAAAAGTACAAGGACGCCATCCATTTCTATAACAAGTCTCTGGCAGAGCACCGAACCCCAGATGTGCTCAAGAAATGCCAGCAGGTGGGTAGGAAAAGAATAGGGGTGTTTTCCTAATAATTGAGCTGTTGTTTCTTACTGTTTTATTTATTTAATAATGAACTTGACTTTTTTTTTTTTTTTTTTTCCTCTCTTGAGACGGAGTCTTGCTCTTGTTGCCCGTGCTGGAGTGCAATGGCATGATCTCGGCTCACTGCAACCCGCGCCTCCCAGGTTCAAGCCATTCTACTGCCTCAGCCTCCTGAGTAGCTGGGATTACAGGCATGCGCCACCATGCCCAGCTGAATTTCTTTGTATTTTTAGTAGAGATGGGGTTTTACCATGTTGACCAGGCTAGTCTCTGACCCCGTGATCCGCCCACCTTGGACTCCCAAAGCGCTGGGATTGCAGGCGTGAGCCACTGTGCCCATTATTATTTGTAGAGAAAGGGTCTCACTGTGTTGCCCAGGCTGGTCTCGAACTCCTGAGCTCAAGTGATCCGCCCTCCTCGGCCTCCCAAAGCACTGGGATTATAGGCATGAGCCACTATGCCTGGCTGAACCTGACTTTTTTAGGTCATGGCTTTGGTCATCTTCTCTGCTTCTTTCTTTGTCATTTAATGTCACAACATGTAGGAGATGATCTGGCTTTTTTTTGCAGCTTTCTGTATTGGCCAAGAGTTCAGCACTAAATGTGTTACTATTGAGGGCCTGTGCATTAACAGTAGTTCTTGTAACATTTTTACTATTTTATACAACAAAAGTGGTGTGAATTAGGCCAGTTGTCTTAAATTATGTAGGGGGTGAGTTTATTCACAAAAGAATTGGTGAGAAAATGAATGGGGCTGGCTAGGCACGCATCCTTTTCATACAGGCCTTATTTTTGTACCAAGTGTCGTGTCAATGTCATTCATTCTCTTTCATGGTATAGCTTAATAATAAAGACTGTAAATTTCTTTTAAAATCTTGTCAGCAGTACTCTAAAAATTAAAATCGTAATGCGGTTTTTAAGTCCAATATTTAGATGTTTATGAGCATTAAATTACTATTCCAAGAATTATTTTTTGTAGGCAGAGAAAATCCTGAAGGAACAAGAGCGGCTGGCCTACATAAACCCCGACCTGGCTTTGGAGGAGAAGAACAAAGGCAACGAGTGTTTTCAGAAAGGTACTGCCTGCAGCTCAGGGGGCTGGGTGTGTGAGAGCGGTGCTGGGTGCTTCCCGTGCCTGACTGTGGGGTAAATAGGGCCTGGTACACATGGGGGCTTTTTAAAAGATTGTCTTTGTTTTTCTTCCCCAGGGGACTATCCCCAGGCCATGAAGCATTATACAGAAGCCATCAAACGGAACCCAAAAGATGCCAAATTATACAGTAATCGAGCTGCCTGCTATACCAAACTTCTGGAGTTCCAGCTGGCACTCAAGGTGAGACCCAGTTGTGTGGGAGCAGCCATTACTGTAAACCTGCAGATGAGGAGAGGGTTTTTCTCTCTGTGTTTTCATCAACTTTGGGTTGATGATGTTTGAGGTAGTCTCGCTCTGTCCCACCTCAGCCTCCTGAGGAGCGAGGACCACAGCACATGCCACCACACCCAGCTACATTTTTAATTTTTTTATAGAGTTGTGGTCTTGCTATATTGCCCAGAATTGTGTGTGTGTGTGTGTGTGTGTGTGTGTGTAAAATATGGGATGTGTATCTAAATGGTCCTGGCCCATGGAGTTATTAGTGGTTGGCAGTACATGGGTCGTTTCACTCTCATATCCTTCCTCACATTTTTTCTTTGTTTTTGCTTTTTGTTTTTTGGGGTTTTTTTGAGACAGAGTCTTACATTGTTGCTGGGGCTGGAGTGCAATGGTAATCTTGGCTCACTGCAACATCTGCCTCCCGGGTTCAAGCAATTCTTCTGCTTCAGCCTCCTGAGTAGCTGGAATTATAGGTGTGTGCCACCACATCCGGCTAATTTTTTATATTTTTAGTAGAGATGGTGTATCATTATGTTGGCCAGGCTGGTCTTGATTTGTGACCTCAGGTGATCTGCCTGCTTTGGCTTCCCAGAGTGCTGGGATTATAGGTGTGAGCAACTGCGCCCAGCACAGTTGTTTTTTTTTTTGTTTGTTTTTTGTTTTTGGGACAAGGTCTGGCTCTATTGCCCAGACGAGCTGGAGTGCAGTGGCATAATCTCAGCTCACCGTTACATCCGCTTCCCTTGCTTAAGCTGTCCTCCCACCTCAGCCTCCTGAGTAGCTGGGATTACGGGCATGCACATTGTACCCAGCTAATTTTTGTATTTTTTATAGGAAGGGTTTCAACGTGTTTTCCCAGGCTGGTATCAAACTCCTGGGCTCAAGAGATCCTCCTGCCTTGGACTCAAAGTCCTGGGATTGTAGGCATGAGCCACTGAGCCTGGCCTGTGTTTAATTTTTGAGGAACTACCCTGTTGTTTTTTCAGCAGCTGCACTATTCTTCCTTGCTTTTCTGTTTTGCTCAGGTAGGTAGGTCTGCTGTTCTCAGTCACATGAAATTTGGTCAGATACGATTAAGTTTAACACTGTGGAGTTCCCATCATTCTCTTGAGTATTAAGTTTAACACTGTGGAGTTCCCATCATTCTCTTGAGTATTAAGTTTAACACTGTGGAGTTCCCATCATTCTCTTGAGTATCAGCCACCCTTCCTCTATCAGAGTTTTTTGGACTGTTCTCTAGCTAACAAACCTGGACCGTACTGTGGGAAAGTGACAAAGTGTGATCTGTCTAGAAGCAGCCATACCTGGGTTTGTGTTGGTTTTATATTTTGTGCCACTGTCTTCTGGGTCTGTGTCTTGGC